GAGTTCGAGGCGGAGCCGGGGGAAGTGAGTGCACGAACTGCTGCAAGCGATGCAAAGTTGGTAGGACCCTCATCAGCACCATAAGAGGTCGGGGTGACCATCTCGCCTGATAGCCGGAGCGTAGTGTGAAAAAAAATTTCGACTGTGCTGCAATCCAAATCCGACTTCAGTGCCGAGCGAATGCCAAGAAGGGCTAGGGGCAAATTGTCAGATCAGTCGGCTGCGTTCTGTGCGGCACGCAGGGCGATGTTTAGCTGGCGGTGAAAACGCTCAACCCTGCCGTTGGCAGCCCGATGGTAGGCCGTCGTTCTAATTCGCGTGCAGCCGACAAAGTTGAGGCAGGCTTGGAAGAGTACAGATTCAAACTAGGCACCTCGGTCGGTCGAAATCGTGGATGGGACACCGAATATTGTGATCCAACGACTGACAAAAACCTTTACGATGATGTCCACCTCCATGTTCGGCAAGGGGATCGTTTTAACCAAGCGGTCGACACAGCTAAGAAGATGACTGAAGTCATTGGACGGAGGCAAAGTGTCTATGAATATAAATGAACATGACTGAAATCAGCGTCGGGGTTATTACTTGCTGTAGCGCTGGATCCTGTTCCGTTGGCAACTCAATCATGATCGTGCCCAAGTTTTGACGTCTTTGTTCATGCTGGGCTAAAGAAACCTTTCGCAGGAGCTTCTGAGGCCCAGGGTGGGAGAGTCAATGAAGACTATGAAACAAAGCTAGACTCATCCAGGGCGGAAAAAGGGTGATTGAAAGGAGTCAAGACCTCAAGGAGGATGGTGCCAGACCCGGCGGTGAGTGAAACGTCTGCGAGCTAGAGACCACTAACGGATTCGTCGCCAGGACAACTGACTCGTGTTTGCTCAACTGTCATAGAACCAAGATCGGTCACCTGTGCGAGTTGGATGCAGAGAAGGCAGGTCTAGACAGCATGCCGGTCATCACATCCTTCGTGCCATCAGTGTGGTGGATGTCAGTGGTGAACTGCGAAATGTAGTCCAGGTGGGCAATCTCTTTGGGGTTGTACTTTTCAGAATGAAACCGAAGAGCAAAGGTCAACGGCGTGTGGTCTGTGAGCATGGTGAAGTCCCGACTCTCAAGTAAAGGTCAGAAATGCTTCACGGCCATTTACGG